CCCCCCCCCCCCCCCCCCCAAACAAAACAAAAACCGAAATAGCAACCAAAAACAACAACAAACAAACAAAAAACCCGATGAGGACATGTACAGCTTGATTTGTGCGTGATGGGAATGTTGTGTTGTTTGAGCACAATGATTTTACAGTCATTAAAACTCAAAGGGAAAGGTTCGTTGAACCTGGATCTTTTTCTTGTAGACATTTCGTGTTTTATTGTAATGGAAAAGCATTGTCATGTATGTCTCGTTTGTCTGTGTCGTGCGTGAGAACTCCACCAGTTCTTTGCTTGATTAATTTTCCTGAAAATAATATTTAGCCTTTTTCCGACAATCAGTGGGTGGTTGGAGGGCGCCACTGGTAGGTCCTACTTTTTTACTTTCCCCTGTGTTGTTTCTGTTTGTCTGTCTTACTTTTTCTCAACACTAAATGACCATTATTGTGTCGATGTGCTTCTCTTTACTCATACAATCATACAATCCGACAATCAGATGCTATGTCTGCTCTGAGAGTGTTGACCTGGAATACACTAGCTCATTGTGTATCTGGTGGGCGCGTAGTGCGTCAAGAATAATGTTCATTTGTAACCACCAGGGGTTGTACTGTGTATGTCCTTGCAAATATCAAAGTCTCACATAAGGTGGGCTTGTTTTTTTGTTTTGTTTTTGCTCTCACTGTTTGTCATGTCCGTCCACTGACCGATTCTCTACCTTCGGTGTCAGTTTGTTAGGGATAGGTTCTTTGCCTTGCACATGGGCGATGTGAGCTCAATTCTCACTTGTACAATTCACTTTCTCAAGGGATCCCGCCTTTGTGTACAATCCCGTATTCCACTCTTCCTTGGCTGACCGCGGCAGGCAGTGCCAACGCAGTGCGCCTAGAAAGTTCCTACATCTCGGGGTAACGACACAACTGTCGTAACTCGGGGTTTTCAAATTTTACAGGAGGAACAAACACGTAATCTGATTTCACTCCACTGTATCCATCAACAATGCCTGGAATATCTATTAAAAATTGTATTTTCACAAAACAATCGCACCACTCCGAGGTATTTACTTTTACAGGGCATCCCCCCTCCCCCTTCCCGGTTCCTTGGAATATCTTTTTTTAAAGAGTAATATTCGCCGGAACACTTGAGTTACGCTACCACCCCGCGACATACCGGAGTTGTAAAACATCTCCACCGCATATGAAGTGAGTAAGGAAATGGACATGAAGGTGCCCATACTCTTTGGTGACCTTGCGCCAAAAGTGCAGTACTGTTTATGAAGATCATCATTTACAGTGTCCTCAGAAGTCGTGCAACCGAAAGAGTTAAGTCCATGTGCCGGGATTTGGAGAAGTGTCCTCTATGGGGCCACTGAGATGTATGCTGGTGCTGTCGGTTTGTACAGGCTCTTGGATCCACCAAATGCGCACACATAGACTAGTCCATGGTTTTCTTCTTTTCAAAGGGTCATGATATCAGTCCATCTCGGATCTGAATCTCTCACAAGCGTGTTTAGTGAGGGTCTTACGCCTTTTGAATGTGTTGTAGGCTACGGTGCCTTTGCACTGTTACTGCTTTATTTTGGCCTCTGTTCTCCGAGTTCTGACTATTGACGAGTCCATATATTCATGCAGGTACATTTATTTATATTAATTTTGGATCGTATTTTTGCCGGCTTTTTTGGCGTCATCTCTACCTGAAGTTCAAGGTATACTCATGAACCATATTAATGACCGAATTGGCGTTTGCTCCACGCGTACTGTCTTCGGAGTACTAAAAAGTGCCAAGGGTATAGGAGTATAAGTAAATCCCGTTGATTGTAGCGAAAGTTTAGTCCTTCTGTCGATATTGTTACGGACCACGGACTCCGGTGCCTCCGACAGTACATGGCCACTGCAGCACTATTGTCTCTTTTTTTTCTTCTTTGGCAGTCTGGGTTTTTTGTTCATTTTGAAAACCAATGGAGGCTCAGTCAGTTGTCTGCTTGATTCGAGTCAAGTCAGACTTGTCCCCCGTTGCCATACGCACCGGATGTGTTTGTCACGATGGAGACGCCGGCTTGCGACGCGCCGGGGCGCGCGAGCTCACATGGGCTGGGCGCATTTGTCGCTGGGTCGATGCGTTGATAGCACGCCACGTCTGTGTCGGTGCTGGAGGCTAGTGGGATACCGTCGGGTGATGCTTTCAGCGCGATGCCTTCTTGTAGAGTAGAGGGGGAGGAGGAGGGAGATGGGCCGGAGGTTTTCGGCGTCTTCAGCTTTATTTGTCGTGGGGACGATTTAGAAGGCGCCTTTGGGGAGCTGTGGGTGTCGTTTCCGGGGCTTGTAGGTTCGGATCCGTGCTTATGTCCGTTGATGACTTTGGCGAAGGGTTGTACGTCTTGACCGTTGACCTTGGTGGTGAGACTTTGTGCCTCTGGCTTGATGGTGGTGTTCTGGTGGCCAAGGCCTCCATTCATCTTCGACGCTGTAGTGGATAGCGTCTTTGGCTGGGCGGTTTTAGCATCGGTATTGGCATGCTGGTGTGGGTGGTGGTGGTGGTGGTCGTGATGGTGGCTGTGGTGGTGCTGTTTCTCCTTGTACACGCCCTCCTCCAGGTCAACATGCTGATGTGCATGCCCCTTAGGCACAAACGTCTGGGCGTCTTTGTCCTTGTGAGAGAGCTTGTTGTACATTTTGCTCACGCGTCGGTCTTTGTAGAGTATCCAGAACAGGGCAATCAGACAAGGCACAAGAAACAAGACACCTGCCATGATACCTGGAATAGAAAGGCAAAGGAAGACAATTTATTTGTTATACTCGTGGGCATGGGTGGGTGGGTGATGTTATGATTTTTAATTTGTCCTGTATTTATTTTCTTCTTTCTCATTTTAAAAGGAAGCTGGTGGATGGTTGTAGAAAGAAGAGAAATTGGAAGAATGGTGTTGTATGTAATTAGTTCACTGTGGTGGTTTCGTAATGCTTCTATGATCGGGTGCGCCGTTTGCACAATAAGTCATCACGCTGGACTTCGATGCTAGGGGACTCTGGTTCGAATTCAGAAAGAGGGATTCTTAAACCTGAGTTGTTTTGGGACCTTTTATGACTTTCCGCCTTCTTTGATCTATGTTATCGGAAAAGAGCTTTCAATACGTCACTTTAATCGCCCTACAGCTTTAAAGGGGCTATACACCCCTACCATACCGTGCCATACAATGCTGTCATAGCCAGCGCATTAAAACAATCTTATAGATGTGAGCGTATTGATCAAGTTAGCTAACGCAGCCGTAAACAGTCCAACAAGTAAATGTTAAACAATATGATAGCCTTGATTTTTTGGAACTGTGAAAAGTGTTTATGATATATTCATAGAGTTTTTAATCCCAAAGACGTTTGCTATATCTTTATAGAGTTTATAATCCCTTGACCATCAATGATTTATTTATAGAGGCACCAGCCATCCATGTCCAGGTGCTGTTTTAGCCTCTTTTTCCTGTATGCGGATTAATAATATCTTTTTGCCAATTTATTGTTTCTGCTTCTATGTACACATATCTATGGTTCTCAACCTGGAAATCGCCTATAATTCGCTGTAATTGCCCCCCCCCCCCCCTACCATTTCTCATCACCCCCCCCCCCCTTATAGTGTCATCATTTATGCTACCGAGTTTATAATCCCAAATGATTTTGCAACATACACGTATTTAGGCTATAGAGTTTGCAATCACAAAGGTGTTTATAATTGAGTTTTAAACCCTACCCACAGCATGGGTGGTTGGCGGGTGCACCGCAATATCCCGTGGTAGAAGTGTTTTACTGACCAGTGACCATCTTGAGCGAGTCCTCTGACCACTCGGCGCAGGACTCCTGTATCACCGTGGTGTTGATCATGGCGTGCACGCAGATCTCGTAGTCCTCGTCCTTGTGGAGCGAGTGCAGGGTGAAGCTTCGGACCTGAGGGGGGGTATTGGGGAGGGAGAGGGAGAAAGAGAAATGCATGTATGTACCGGTATGGTTTGGGGTTTTTTACATTTTATTTACAAGTTGAACATTTTACTCGACACAGTTTGTTCATTTTGAAGGCAGAGTAGCTGGTCCAGGGGGTCGGAGTAAAGATGAAGTTTTGATGTTTTGTCTCATGCTCCCGCTGTACAGGGTAGAGACTGCTCGTTTGAAGGGCGGTGCATTTAGCTACCTTAGGATAACAAAATTCTATCTGACAATTTTTAGTGGGTGGTTGGCGGGTGCTCTGGTGTGGTTTGCTTCTTCTTTCCTATCAAACATCTATCGTCTTTACCTTCCCTCCTTTTTTGTGTTTGTTACTCTCTTGTAACACCTCTAATCTTCGGCACTTATATGACCTTATTGTGTTGCGAGTGCCGTAAAACACTTACTAAAACTAAAAACTAAAACTCTGACATTTTTGGCTGTTTTGAGTTACTAAAACCTTGAGGTCAGAAAACAAATGTTCTATCTGCTTTGTCAAAATCGTAAGATCATTCGGAGGCGTTACCAAGATAATTTTTTTTTAAAAATTGCTTTTGAAAAAGCTTAACATGTTATGAAACTCCAAATTTGGAATGTGGAATTTCTCTCAACTAAGTAGAACTACAGAGCAGATAGAACATTGTATTCTAGGATAGCGATTTAGCGCCGCGCTTCGTGGGGAGGGGAGGGGGTTCAATACGTTTCTTTCCTTCAGTTGTGATTTGTATTTTTGTCCTGCGTCTGTCTGACTTTTTCTCACCGTCGGTGGATTGTTTCACCCAGCGATTTGAACAGAGAAGCTGTAAGCTAAGTCGATTACGCGCTGGTGGGTGGTTGGCGGGTGCTCTGGTGTGGTTTTCTGCTTCTTCTTTCCTATCAGACATCCATCATCCTTATCTCCCCTCCTTCTTTTTTGCGTTTGTTACTCTCTTGTAACACTTCGTCCTCTAATCTTTGGCACTTATAAGACCTTATTGTGTTGCAAGTGCCGTAGAACTCTTACATAATACTATTTTTTAAAATTACACGCCGTGCTGACGTATAGCTTTTGTTTAGCTGGTAGAGCTTTGATGCCGGCGCTTACAGTAAAGAAGAAGAAAGAAGACATGAAAGAAGACATGGATGGCAATATATGCGCTAAGTAAATATCTCTCGTTCAAATCTATGGGCGTAGACGTTCGCGTGCGTGTTTTCGTGTTCGTCTCCAGCTCTATGCAGCCAGTCTTTATGGGACACTCGAACCCATTTTCTGTGTGTCCGAGGTGTGTGTGTGTGTGTGTGTGTGTGTGTGTGTGTGTGTGTGTGTGTGTGCGTGTGTGTGTGTGTGCGAGGTGTGTGTGTGTGTGTGTGTGGGTGTAGTTTCAGAAAACTGAATAATGGAAATGG